GCGGCGGGCGGGGGCGGCCCTGGGACGCAGCGGGAGCATGGAGCCGCGGGCCGGCTGCCGGCTGCCGGTGCGGGTGGAGCAGGTCGTCAACGGCGCGCTGGTGGTCACTGTGAGCTGCGGCGAGCGCAGCTTCGCCGGGATCCTGCTGGACTGCACGAAAAAGTGAGCGAGGCGGGAGCGCAGGCCCGGGACACCCTGGAGTCCCCCGGGACACTCCCCCACTGGCCCGGGCACCGGGTCCGCGGCGGGGCGGGGCGGGGCGGCCCGGCGCCTGCTTTCGGTTTCCGCCCGCCCGGGTTTCTGGGCACGCGAGCGCGGCGGCTGCTGGGGGGCGAAAGTGGCTCTTTCTCAAAGTCGCCGCGACTTTCGGGGCGCGAGATCGCACTGCTCAGCAGAGGGGGTTGTGGGCGCCCGAGCCAGGCCGAGGAGCGTGGGGAGCTGAGCTCCCAACTCCGCACATCTGCCGTAATTAACGCACTTTTCTTTGTTCAGACGCACTGTTGAATTGGGCTGTTTGTAGAAAATCGCGGTGCGTTCAGAGGGGTTCAGACGTGCTATGGCTTTGCCCTATCAATTGCAAGCTGGGGAGCCCTGTCAGTCGTGGGCCCCCACCCACTCGAGGCTTGTAGGAGTGGCTGGTTGGGAGCAGCTGTGCCCACTGTGGGGCGTAAAATTCTGATGCGGGTGCAGAAGTCGCGCGGAGGAGTGGAAGATCCAAGTTCCAGGCCGGTGTTCCTGCTGGAGGGGCATGTGGGGCTGAGCAAGCCCTTCCTGAGTCGCACCTGTGCACCCACTGCAGGGACTCCTGCGGCACAGACGGCACAGAAGAAGCTCCTAGATACGTGTCACATGGCAGTGAGCTGTCACTGCCAGATAAATGATTAGGCATTAATCATTAGGTGTCTCTGCTCTTGCTGGGCTTTATCTTGCAACCTGGTGCAGTGAATGGCTCCCCTTTCAAAGGCCTGATTTTTTTTCTCCCTCCCTGTAGGCTAATTTTTCCCTGGGTGGTGTGAACAAAGCAGAGACCATCCTCCTTTGAGTTATCTAGCTGACATTATCTCTTCATTAGATGTGCCAGAAGCCATTTATGCACAAGTCGTGCAACTTAACATATGGCCTCCTGTGTGACTCTTGCCCCTGTTCTGTGTTGGCTACAACTGGGATTGGAATGACACTCAGGGATTGTAGAATACCCACCTGGGAACTGCCAGCCTACCAGAGATGGGGTGGCTGCCATCACCCACTAATCATTAGTGGCCACTGTGTACTCCCTAGGCAGGCTAGGCTTGGTCTTGAGTTTGCAGGGCTATACCCCTCTCCACCTATTCCTCTTGCTTTGGCCTTTCCTCTTTGCGGGAATGCAGCAAAGGTGTCCCCATTTCCTGGGCTTTCTGACTCGGTGTGGGAGGGAACCTGTATGTCTGGAGAGGTAGTGGGCTTCCCACCCTGAAGCCAGTGGCTAACCTGGTATGCAGATCCACACCCTCTTCAGGCAAAGAGCTGCACAGCTTGCTGGCATCCCAGGCATGGGAACTGGCAGCTGTAGGATGTGTGACTGCCCGCGCTGCACAGCCACATTCAGCTGTAACCAGAGCTGCCCTCAGGCCAGAAGCTGGGCCTCAGTAGGAGCAGTTTTGCTTTGCTGAGGCTCTGACTCTGGTTGACCTGGTGTCCTTGTAGATAATCTGAAGATAAACGAGGCCTCCCCCTCTCTAGCCCTCCAAGGCCTGATCCGGAAACAGCCCGGCTTCTGCTCACCTTCATCTTTCTTGTGCTTGGCACTCTTGGTTTCTGTTTCCAGTTCTGTACTCACAATATTATGAGTTTTGAAGCTAATATTTATAGCTCTGCTTGTCAGAAGTGTCCACAATCCAGCTTACAAAATTACAGTCCAGCACAGGCCTACCCTTGGGCCTCAGGGTCCAGAGGCCAATCTACCCTCTCTGGGTGCCAGTTTTTCCTCAGTGCCTGGTGCCCACCTTTGTCTGCCCTATAGAGATCCAGTCCCTGGATGTGGGCCTTGCTGGCAGGGAAGGGGTTCCAGGAGCTCCGCTGACTCACCTTAGGGATGCCTGAGGGTCCCAGAGCAGCAGGTGTCAAGCAGGGTCTGTTCAGAGCAGGTCACTGTTGGGGGGGGGGCTGGAATAGTCCAGGTACAGTACCTGGCAACCGGTTGTCCCTTGCAGTAACTAGTCACTGTGTTTTCTTTGCTGGATTGGAATGGTTAACAGGAAGGGGCCATTGACATAGGCTCCTGAGTGGGAGGCTGAGGTGGGGCCCAGCTCCCAGTGGCACACTCTCCCTTGGTTCCCTTCCCTGTTTGCAGAACAGAATGGCGCTTGAAAGGGGCTGGGCCCAGGTCTTGCAGTCCCCTCTGTCTTGAACCTGCTGCCAGGCTGTGGTACAGTCTGAAGCAAGCTTTCAGTTGCTGAGTGCTTTTCTATCTATGTGTTTTTGTTTGGTAACTGAGCACCTTCTACTGTGTGTTCAGGGATGGGCTATGTCTGAGGCAAACTGCTTCCAACCGCGCTTGCTTCTGGCAAAGGGTGAAGATTTTTTTCCAAAGCTTTAATACCCAAGTTATGCCTGAAGGGGTGGGGTGGGCATTGTTTTGTGGGTGACTTTGAAGTGTACCTCTGAACAAGGACAAGGTGGGGTGGCACTGGCTGAGGAGTGGCCTGAGGACACCGACACCAGCAGCTCAGGGTGGAGCTGGCCTGGCCTCACACACCAAGAATACAGGAGGCAGTACCAACCAGACCTGGATGACCCTGGGCCTCTAGCTTTGACCTCTAAGCTAGCAGGACTCAAACTTGCCAAATGGAGAATCACCCGTGGTGCATTACCACACAGACCCCAGGGCCTGTCTGCTAGAAAGGTCAGGCTGCCATCCTTTATGACCAGGACCCCAGCTGCTGCCAGTTGTAGGCAATAGCCTTAACTTCTGTTCTGCAATAAAAACCTTTGTCCAGGACAGAAGCTCGGCTGCTGGGGATGCTTCTAGGATAACTCCCTTGATGACTGAGGGTGAGCTGGCCATGGGGGCTGCAGTGGTACTAAAATGTCCTCCCTGGAAGGACCCAGTGCCCAGGTGTCACAGGATGGCATGCTTGTCTTGGGAGATTCTTCATGGAAGATGCCATCTGAGTGGGTGGGCGGGGGAGCACCAGGGACATGGGGGATGGCAGTGCTGGCCTGTGCTGCTGGGAGAGCCTGGAAGGTCTAGGGTGAGATGACACTGATGCTAATAAACCTCTGATTGAAGATTCTGGGCTCCCATTCACTCTTACATGGATATCCTGGGGTCAGTGCCCTTGGGGTGGGACAGGTGCCATTGTGTGCACTGGGAAGGAGGCACTATGGTGTCAGGCCATCATTGTCCTGCTAATCTCCTGGCTCCTGGAGCAGAGGTGGACCTGGGAAGCCTCCGTGCCCTCAGCAGGCCCCTACAGGCCACTCTGCTCCAGGGCCTGCCTGTTCCTGGCTCCTCTTATAAGGCTTCAGGCTGCGTCTGGCTGGCAGCAGGGCTGCTGATAGATTGCAGATCCTTCCAAAATCAGCTCCGGGTGGACAGCCTGAGTTGGGGCCTTGGGCGTTTGGATCTAGGCCATCCTGGGCCGTAGGCTCCTGGCAGCATGGCTGTGTGCAGAGGCTTCCACAGGCTCCTGCCCGGCTCTGCATGTCCCCGTGTTTCTGACTCAGGAGCCATGTTTACTCATCCCCACAGGCAGCAGCAGGATGCCCCCCACCCCCCAGCAGAGGAAGGAAGGTCTGGGGGCAGAGCCTGCCACTGGGGCACCAGCAGCTGCAGGTCCTGGGGCTTTGGATCAGGGAAGCCGGAAGGAGGCAGCTGCAGGCAGGGGCAGCCCAGAGGCCTGGCAGGCAGCCAGGCTGCTTTCCTCCTGCCCATGAGCCAGTCCCAGCCTGGGCTACTCTGAGTGAGTGGCTGGGTCAGACCCCCAGGTAAGTCCCCAGGGCTGTGGCTTGGCCACTGTTATCCTGCTGAGGACCTTGGGCCAGGTTGCATGTCCCCCGGGCTCTGTGTTCTTGGTATTTGTGCAAGCTCTGACTTTCTGTCCCTCTGGGGGTTGGCTGTATTTTGCTTTTAGATCAGAACCCCATTAGAGCCTCTAGGATTTATCATCCCTGCCTCAGGTTTTTTTAGGTTTTTCTCAAAACAGAGATTCTTTGCCCTACCCCAAGCTCCCCACAATGCTGTGTTGAGGTTTGCTTCCAGGTCCCCTCAGTTTTCAGTGTGGAGTCGTTGGCCAACCTGGCCGCAGCTCCCAAAGGGTACCCCCTCAAAGGCTGTACACATCCGGGGCTCTTGGAGTCCAGGGTAGACTCCCAGCAGTCTCAAGGCCAGCATGTCATCTGTAGGCACAGCCAGGCCAGGAGGCCTCTTCCCTGTGGCTGGGCAAACTCAAGCCCTGGCCTGAGCTTGCTGAAGGTGCCAACCTTGAGGGCAGCCACAGGCTGCAGTGCTCATGGAGGGGTCACCCTAGGCCAGGCAGTGTTTTGGGTTCTTGCCAAGGCTGTCTCCATGCCTGGGGACTGCAGGCCCGGATGTTGTAGACCCATATAGGTGCAGCAAATTCCTTGGTCCCAGTAGCCCTGCTGTCCTACCTGTGAATGGGAATAGCGTCGCTGGGCATCCCATGAGGCTGCTGAAGAGTTGAGGGAGCCCAGGTCCCTAAAGAGCCACTGGTCATGAGCCTTGCCAGGACTCAGGGCTGCCCCAGTGGGGGTTGAGTCATTTCTAGTTTACCCACCGGGCAGGTCTGGGGTGTGGCCAGACAAGAGTGGCAGCTCCAGGAAGTATGGCGGCCTGCTGCGCCAGGGTCACTGCTGGTGGTTTCTTCAGGGCCAGTTTCCCCAGTGCCCTGGTGCTTGTGGATAGTAGTGCGACTTGGGGCCATCAGGAGGACACTGTGCAGCCAGGGCTGTTTCCTGGTTTGATTTCCCTGGGAAGGTGCTGACCCTTGCTTGGAGCACTGGCCCGGTCTGGGCCTGTGTCTCAGCCTGAGAGCTGTGTGTCTGTCATAAATTTTCTGAGAGTACCTGAGGGGCTTGTACCATGGGCAGGTGACCCCGTGGAGCTCCTGAAGCTGCAGGGGCTGTTGGGCGAACATTCCTAGCCCCTTGTGAGGACAGGGTCATCTGGGGAGAGAAGGTGGAGCTGTAGTCTATGGGGATGGCTGGCAGAGGCTATCAGAGGTTGGGCTCTGGGAATGTGGCCTGGTTGTTGAGAAGGGCTCTGTGCTGGTATAATCAGGCTGGCTTTAGGGGCACAAGCTGCAGTGCCAGAGACAGGTAGGGAAGTGGAGCCCGAGGCTGGGGTGTGGGGGGTGTCCAGAAGGAGTGCAGACAGCTCCAGTGGCACCTTCAGTTAGCATGTGGTACTTAGCAGGAGGGGTACAGATGAGGAAGGTTCCAGTGGGAACCCCAGCTCCTGGTTTAAGTGAGTATGAAAGCTAGTAGGAAGTAGGCTTTGCAAAGGCCCTCAAAGGACACTCCATGTCCAGGTCGCTCTGATCTGTAGCCTGCCTCCCAGGCCCCTAGGCCTCTCTGCTGTCCTGGGGCTTTAGTTCCACCCTCAACTTTGTGTGGTTAGGATGCTTGTCCCCAGTCCCAGCAAGGGTTCTGCACAGTGGCATCGGAGAGAAACAACCAGGTGACCCAGCTGCTCCAGTTTTCCCTGGAGACTGCCTCCGAGTCCCTTCCCCCCCAGGATTGGTTCCTGGATGTTACCTTCTGGCACTTTGCTCCCTGGGGCTGAGGGCTCCTGACCTCTGCTTTTTCCTAACAATATCCTTGTCCTTTGGTGCCCCACGATGAACACAGACCAGGGTTGGCAGGCTGCCAAAAGGTCCTTCCAGACCGTGGTGGGCAGAGTGACTGGGAAACCCTCCCCTGTGGGTTGCTGAAGCAGTTGGAGCCAACTACAGGATTCTGGGCTTTGGGAGCTAATGGCATTCGTGAAGGCTCCAGTTCGGTGGCTGCCTGTCTTCTCTCAGCTACAGAGACAGTGACTATGGCTCTTGCTCTGGACACATGTGGCTCCCACCCTGTACACATTGACATCCATCAGGCATCTGGGGCTCGCCTGCTCCAGAGGACATGCTTGGGCTAGGTTACGAGGCTTACCTGGGTTCTTTCTTGGGTCACCAGCCCTTCTGGGGGTGCTTCCTTTGGAGAGAAGGGTAGGGAACAGGTGAGACCAGTGCACACACAGGTCTTGGGTTTTATGGCCACTGGCTCCAGAGCAGTTGGTCTCCCCTCCCACATTTGACCTGCTCATATCTTTGAACTCAGACCCATTCTCAGGCTTCCTGGCAGCTCTCTGTCATGGCAGTTGTCTGAGATTTAGATACCGTGACCAGAGAAACAGCCTGCACTCCGCATGTCATGGGACCTTCCATGTGTGTATCTACCAGGGTGGTGGGTGCAGGACATACAAGGACCTGCACGTTTCTTTGCAGCCTAGGAATGCCAGCCTGGACTTAGGACGTGTGTTGCTGCCCTGGCCTATAGGAGACTGGAGCGGGGCAGAGAGGGCTGGGCGCAGCAGGGGACTCTTGCCATCCTCACCGTCCTTTCTGTCTCCCTTCTGCTAGGTCTGGCCTCTTTGGCCTACCACTGGCTGATGACCCCTCTGCAATCAATTCCTGCGGCCCGGCCCCTGAGGAGGGTAATGGAGAAGTGATGCAGCCCGGGACGGGCTTCCCGCCACCTCCCCATGGTGACCAGGCCCCTGAGGACCAGCCTCCCAAGACAGCTGGCCCAGAGCCACCTCCGCCTCTTGTGCCGCCACTGCCTGCCCAGAGCCTTCCCCCCTACCCACCGTACTTTGAAGGTGCCCCTTTCCCTCACCCACTCTGGCTGAGGAACACCTATCAGCAGTGGGTGCCGCAGCCGCCACCCAGGACCATCAAGCGGACCCGACGGCGTCTGTCCCGCAACCGAGACCCCGGTCGCCTCATCCTGAGCACCATCCGCCTGCGTCCCCGCCAGGTGCTCTGTGAGAAGTGCAAGAGCACCGTGAACCCCCAGGAGGCCAGCCCCAGCGCCCCAGCTGCTTCAAGGCCCCGCCGGAGGCTGGGCAGTGGCTCGGACCGGGAGCATCGCAAGGCAGAGGAGCCAGAGGACAGTGATCCCTTGGCCACAGCCACTGTGAGGAAGAGCAAGAAGGAGAGGCGGGAGGACGACAGGGCCTCCCTCGAACAGGTCCCACGGAGCCCCGTCATCAAGATCTCCTACAGTACACCGCAGGGAAAGGGTGAGGTGGTCAAGATCCCGTCCCGTGTGCACGGCTCCCTGGAGCCCTTCTGCCCCCAGCAGGCTCTTCACAATGGCAGCCTGGACCCTGAGGTGACTAGAGATGCAGAGCCCAGGGGCGGAGGGGACCGACCACTCAGTGGCCCTTCCACCTCCATCCCCAAGTTGAAGCTGACGCGTCCCCTGCCTCCTGGCTCGGACCTGCCACCTCCCAAGATCCGCCTGAAGCCCCACCGCCTGGGGGATGGGGAGTGTGAGCCCCTGTACAGGGCCGAGCTGGTGGAGGAGCTGAATGGCTGCCGCCAAGGCCCCCAGGCTGGCTCAGCTGACATCTTTGCAGATAGCTCTGCCCGTGGACTGGAGGATTTGTCTTCAGCAAGTTCTGGCGAGGATGATGACTTCAAGAGGTGTCCCCAGAGTAAACAGGGACGCGATGGCTTAGCCTTTCTTGTAAACTGCCCTGGGAGGAGAGCAGGTTGTGCCAGCGAGTCTGTGTGCAGCAGCGATAGCCTGGATGAATCCAAATCCTCCAGCTCAGAAGTGACGTCTCCAGACACAGGGGACCTCTCGTCCGGTGATGGTGCGACCGTGCCTTCCTCTTCCAGGGATGTTCGCCAGACAGTACCGCCCCTAACAGTCAGGCTGCACACCCAGAGCGTGTCTAAGTGCGTGACCGAAGACGGAAGGACCGTGGCTGTAGGGGACGTCGTGTGGGGTAAGATTCATGGTTTTCCTTGGTGGCCAGCGCGTGTCCTTGACATCAGCCTTGGCCAGAAGGAGGATGGAGAGCCTTCTTGGCAAGAAGCAAAAGTCTCGTGGTTTGGGTCTCCGACTACGTCATTCTTGTCTATTTCAAAACTCTCCCCTTTCTCTGAATTTTTCAAACTGAGATTTAACCGTAAGAAGAAGGGGATGTATCGGAAAGCTATAACTGAGGCTGCCAATGCCGCACAACACGTGGCCCCAGAAATAAGGGACCTCTTGACCCAGTTTGAAACGTAACTTTGGTTCCCTGACCAGGTGAGTGCGTGTTCCCTGGATGCCTCTTTCCCTGAGCCATCCTGACGCGTATGTGTGAGTCATCTGGGGCCAAAGGCAGCCAGGGGAGCCGGCTGTGTCCTAGCTTGTGTGTGCTGCACTCCTGCCGTCTTATTTATGGCCCCAGAGGGGGCCATCGAAATTGGTTGTTCTCCCTGGTATTGTCAGTTGAGCTCTTTGGTTTACAGAAAAGGTGCTTTAAAGCAAACGTTCTTCAGCTGCCTGTTTAAGCTGGAGTTCTGCAGCCACTGCCATTTTCAAAGGAAGCCCCTTATGTAACTTCCTCGCTCTTCTGTGAGGGTTTTGGAGAGAGGTGTGTGGTTTGACTGATGCAGGGCAGAGGAGAGCCCGAGGTGGGGCTTCATCTTCTGTTTCTCACTCTGGGAGAAGCACCTTCACTGTCTTCCCAGTGGCTGAAGAGGCCTCCTGCTTGCCGGTGTGCCATCCCCTCGCTCCCGTGGCTGGCAGAGAGGGGAGAGTGCAGCATCCTGCTTGCAGCAGTGAGTACCAGGCTGGCAGCTACAGTCCCCTGTGGCCCTGTTCGTCGTCCTTGCTCAGCAAGTGCAGTGGCCTCTGGACAGGCCTCTTGTGGTAGCCGGGCGCTCTGGATTCTGCGCATGCGCTCTCGACCCTGTTCCTGGCCAGGGTCTCATCTTCCCTTCCTCCTCTCAGAGAACTTTGCAAGTCAGCACCCCGTCCTCAAATGGAACCTCTGGAGCTGGAGCGCTGCACCCAGTGAGCGGGTGCCAACCTGTAGGGTGAATGAGTGTCATCACGTAGGCTGAGCACGTCTGTGATCAGCACATGGGGTATCTAGCAAGGCACTGAGCCATTGTAGCCTACTCTGAACTTTTTACTGATAGCTGCCACCAGCTCTGGGTATGGGGCATGTCCAGCCAGCAGGGTCATCTTTTCTAGCAGTGATTCTTGGGGAGGGCTGGCCTCCCCTCCTCTTCCTTCCTGGCTGGATCCTCCTCCTGAGGGAAGGAGGCAGCCTGTGGCCTTCTGTTTCTGTTCTTAGCTTGGTGGCCTAGCCCTCATTCCTATGGCCAGAGACTCAAGGGGCAGGGGACTCTACACAGAACTAAAGCAGTGCATGTCCCCAACAAAACTGTCTCTGCCTTGGTCTCTTCAGCAACCTCATCTTCCTGGGCCTTCTGCTCTCCCCACCTACCTGGTGTCAATTTCCTGGGTTGCAATCCTTTAGGCTCCAACAGAACTGCTTTGCCACATGTGTAGGAGTCCCAGAAAGAATGTGGTGCTGAGGAGCTGCCAGGGTGTTGGTGTCAAGGCTGCCCTGCTGCCCAGGCTCCATCCTGGCCTCATCCCTTCCTACCTTGGTCCTGGGGAACCTACTCTGTGAAGTCCAGAGAGGTGCCTTTCCTTTTCTTTCCCAAATCAGGCCCATTTTCTCATAGGTTCTGGGGCATTTATGTAGGGATGTGGCGGGTGCCAACAGGCAAGTTGGGGAGTGTGTGTGGACAGCAAGCTCTACGTGTCTGCAAGTGTCAGGGTGATTTTCTCCAGTCAAGGTACCATGGAAAGGGCAGCGAGCTCTGAATTTCAGAAGGGATTCAGGAAGAGCTCAGATGGCTCGCTTCCCTGGGGTCTCCAGCTTCACAGGACCTGTGGTCCTGGAGCACCCTGGCCCCTGGCTGTGGCTCCCCAGACCCCTGGCCCGCCTGCCTGCCCAGCTTCTCTGCTCCCTATCTGGGCCCTGCTTTGGCAGCGGCATGCAGGTTGAAGGCCCCCTATGTGTCTTTCTTGTACCGTGAGCCCAGCTCCCAGTGAAGGGAGGAGCCCAGCCCGGTCTTCACACCTCAACCTCCAGTTCCCAGTCATGGTGGCTACAGGGAGTGAAGACAGTTACAGGGGATGAAACATCATGCAGTTCCAGCCAGAAGAACTGGTGGGCACAGGGGAGGCCAGAGTAGCCAAGGCTCTTCCTTGGAGAATGCAGCTTTGTAGGTTCAGGGCTGGCCAATCTTATCTGGAAGCAGAGGAAAAAAATCTCACCCAACTGGTTTGCCTGCTGCAGAGGCTTAACAAACAGCCTTTTCCTAGGGCTGTACCTGGACCAGCTGTGGAGACCAGCAGCCCTTGGGCTCTGGGGAGTGAGGTGCTAGATTTTCGTGTGCTCAGTGGTGTTGCCAAAGGGGCATTTTGGCTTTCTTTTTGGAGGACTAAAGACAGAGTGAGGTCCTTGCTAGCCTGGGTGTCCTTGCTAGCCTTGGGATCCGTGTGCTTGTAGTTAGTCTCTGCAGCCTGGGGTTCCCTGCTTGGTGTGGGCTCATGGTCGTCTGGTGGATGAGTTTACCTTGAAGCATCAGCAGCACTTTGAGGGCCACTCCTGCAGAGTGCTGTTGGAAACCCACTGGGGCACCTGAACCATGTTTCGCTGAGCAGGGGCTGGTGAGAGACCAGTGAAAGGCACAGTTCCTGGCACCTCCCTGTCTCCTGGGAGGAGAAGGAGGCAACTTGGGCTGGGGCTAGGGGATGGGCATCCTTTAGGTCTTACCACTGGCTGACCTGGCCTGGCCTCGACTGGTCCTGCAGCTGCCTGGGGAAGGCCGTGGTAGGGGCAGCAACTCTCGAAGGTTTGGAGGTGTCTGTGCGGCCCTTGGGAAATACTGGGAGGGATCACAGCAGGCACAGTGGGATCCAGTGTCTTCCACTCCTGGGGACACCCCCCCCCATGGATGGCTGGAGGCTCAGCTGAGAGAAGAGTTGGCCCTGCCAAAGGAGAGATGTTGAGCCAAGCTGGGGCCAGGGAGTTGAGAGAGAGGGAAGGTGCCCTGGTCCTCAGTAGGAACTGAATCTGGGATGTGGTGTTGTCGTGTGTGAGCTTGGGGCCTCTGAGGTGAGTCCTAACAGGCCTGTGAGGCTAAGCTGCCTCTAGGTGCAGGCACAGAGGCTCCACTTACCTTACCTGCCTTGTAGGCGGTGCCCATAAACGTGGCCAGTGCCAGGAGCTTTCGAATGACCTAGTGGCAGCTATGTTTGAAGATGCCCGCCACACCCTTTCCAGCTCTGCACAGGGCTCTGATGTCAGGCCATGCTTCTGGGGCTGTTGTGTCTCAGAGCTGGGTACAAAACCCTGGGATGGGGCTCGGGGAGATATATCTGCTCAGTAGAATAAGCGCTTGCCTGGCAAGCGCAGGGTCCTAAATTTAATCCCTGATACTAAAAAAAAAAGAGTGAAAGAGCGAGCCCTGGGATGGAGAAAGAGCTAACTGACCAGCTTCATCCTACAGATGTGAATGGGGCTGCCCCACTGGGGAGGTGGCTGCTGTGGTGTGCTGTGGTGGGAGGTGCCTGAGGCCTAGGTGAGAGATTTTAGCCTTGGAAGCTCAGCGCATAGACTGGGGTGTGGGATGGATCCAGCACCTGGGGTGCCCCAGAGGAGGATGGAGCCATAGGATGGAGTAAAAAAGCCAGCAGTGGCTGCTCCAGGGGAAGCTGCTTTAGAATGGCTGAGAGGCAGGGTGTGACAGGAGTGGCAGTGTGGAGGCAAGAAGGGGGTCTGGTGGAAAGGGGAGAGTGCTGGCCAGCCCGGGAAGAGGAGCCCCAAGCTGCCAGCAGCTGCAGGAGAAGACCTTGCCCGTCCTTCACCCCAAGGGGGGTGGTGCTGAGTGGATGTCACCCAGGTAAATTCCAGGGGCTGAGTTCCAACAGAGGACACACCCAGGTGCTGTGGGAGTTGTGAAGGCTGACAGGAGCACCTTTTCTGCTGCTGCAGAAGCCAAGCCCCTCCCTGGGACAGAGGCCAGAGCAGGCAGGTGGCCAGTGTGGGCTGGGAACCATGGCAACTGCCTAAAGGAAGGATAGCGTGCCCCCAGCTCGCAGCCTCTCAGGTCAGCAGAGATTGTGGTCTCCAGGTGTGCAGGGTCCCTGGCTTCCTGTGAGACTCGGGCCCCTGCCTCTCTGCCTTTCTCCAGTGGGTGGGGCTGCAGGCAGTTGGGGAGCTTTCCCACATGCTTGCTGGGTATTCCAGCTGAAAGGTGGGTTTGGTGGACCTCTCTGAACTATCCTTGGCATCAACCTTGTCCTTTGTGCGAGTTTTCTGTGGTCACAGTAATAAGCTGGAGGCTTCGAATATTTATGCTCACATTTCCAGAGTCAAAAGTCTGAATTCACAGTGTAGGCAGGACCTAGCTCCACCAAAGGCTCTGGGGGAGGGACCTTCCTCCTGTCCAGCTCTGGGCGGTTCCAGGCATTTCTGATCAAGGCCACTGGAGCCTGCCACTGTGTGTGGTCTCCACCTTTTCCTCAGCATTCATTGTCCCGCAGTCTATTTTATGAGGAACTTGCAGTGGTAGGTAGGGGCCATCTGCATAATCCAGAATAATCCTACCATCTCAAATCCTTAATTTAATCACATCTGCAAAAATATAACATTGATGGTAACAGTCCCGGACTCCAGGGAGTAAAACTTGAACCTGTGGGGTACCACTCACCCCTTCCTCTCCCAACATTCCCCACACATACTTGAACACTTGCACGCTGACGGTCTGTACCCAGCCTACTGCATGGCAAGGGGGTAGCAAAGGTGAATCTGTCCGACTTCTTTTCCTCAACACCTGTCTTGTGCTGTGGGTGGGGTCGCGGGATTTGTGGGGTGATGGCTGGAGCCATTGTTCCAGAAGGATCCGGGCTCTCTGGGGAATGATGGGAGGGCTGCGCTTGACAGGCAGTCCTGGGAGTGTCACAAATGCCTTTGCCTTCTGGCTTCACCATGTTGATTTCTCCGGGGAAAATAAAGGCATCGATCAGGCGCTGTTGGATAATCGCTGGTGCTGGTGCGCTGTGGCTGCTGCGTCCAGAGAAGAGCTCTGACCCCAGACCTCCGTCTGCTCTGAGCTTCGACTTCTTATTTTGTGATGGTGTCCTTGAGCCCAGAGCTCCAGTGCAGCTTTTCTTTCTTCCAGCTCTAAGTAAAAATGTATTTCTGCTCCTGAAGACAGGTTGGCAGCAGACTTCTG